TAGTGTATTTGGATAAAAATCAATTGAATACTTCCGAAGCTATGGAACGCCACTTAAGACCTTTTATTTCAAATCTACTCTTTCAGAGGCCAACCTCACTCAAATATATAAAATGTCTACCCTTTGATCTAATGATGTGGTTTTATTTCTAGATAGTTTGTATGCCTACAGCCAGAGTTTTAGCTCGCTACGGTCCTTTATTGAATCTATGGAATTTTTTTGAAGGCCATGTATTGGGGTACCCGAGACCGACTTTTCTAAATTTTAAACTCTGATGTCTCATGAATCAGGTGAAAATTTACAAACAACATACTATTAAAGTAAAAATTCTCCACGGAATAGTATTGGTTGAGTTGTAGCATTTCTCCCGGTCTTATACATGAAACACAATCATGCTTCCATACTAACCGTGACCCAAATGTGCACAAGAGTAAGGTAGCGTGCTGACGGCCGCTTAGAGGTATATGAACTACTATACGTAGATAGTACCGAGCTTACTCCAGATCTTCCCTCTCAGAACGATTTTATCCAATAGACTGTCTAGGACTCCTCCATCTAACTTGCTCAGATTATCGAAGATTTTCATCCGAGAACACCCAATCATCACTGCTCAAATATGTAATGAAAATCATTGATCAACCTGGTGATGATATTCTGCTGCACTACGATCTGCATCCCGGTCAACTCACTCAGGTGGCTTATCCGACAGAGGCTGCAGTCTATTTCATAGTTACCGTAAACCGGGGTATCTTTGATAATGCGGGTAACTTTGATAGCATAATATAAAGATTAAATTTACTCGCTGCGCTTTTTCCAAATTAGAAAAATTGGTTCCATATTTGTAGCTTAGAGTATTTCCGTTGATATCGTATATAGTTTTTACATAGTATGTGTAACATATTTTACAAACAACATTCGTGTTTTTCACCTGTTTGAGAAAGCACTCAAACCATCACTTATGAAATGTATTTCTGATAGAGCCATAACAAATTCAATGTTGTATTCTGATTGCTTATGAGGTTTTCTGATTTCTGTACATCATCTAAGTGTACCCGCAACATTTGCTTCCAGGATACTAATCGGACGCCACCAGTTCTTCAGCAAACTCCTGGTCCGGAATCGGGGCAATTTCATCAGCAGACTCATCTTCGGTTAGACTCCCTCCGTCGAATCGTCTATGTCAGCAATGATCACCTTAATCACGTCGATCTACAGCTCGAATACGTGCTGTTCAGGGGGAGAGGAATTAAATTCAATGATTCCGCTACCAGGCAGTAGCGTTCTAGAGGGTGAAGAGCTTCAGCTTCGTTCCTTAGTTGGACATGGACACTGAAAGTGAAAGTTAACAAGATGATAATTATCGCTACACTAATTTTGCTTTTGAAATGCTCTTTCTGGTTCTAGTAACATTTCCAAACCGGTAGATTTGCAATTCAGAACGGAAAGGGCTCGGAATTCATCAACCTGGGAGTACGATTGCTATTGTAGGAGAGATTTCCAAATATGTTGTTCTAGAGGCGGCTGCGTTAACGGAGAGTGATAACAAGAATTCTGCGAGAAAAATGAGTGATTTTCGCACCTTGTATTTTGTTTTATTTTGTGTATCGATTCGACGGGATGACAAGAAAATGACATTTGATGCCGAAAAATACCGACCAGTTTTATCATAGCCAGCGTTGCCAGAATGTTTTAAAGGTTATCGGTATCAAAGGTTTTAAAAAATCGGTATTTATCGGAGTTTACTATTTAAATTAATTTTATATTTTTGCCGTTTTTGAAAGCGAAAATTTTAACTTTTGGACTATGATCGGTAAATTCCGGAAGAAAACTCCGGGGAATGTTTGAATAAGCTTTTGGAGGAAGCTGAAAACAACATCCAGAGAAAGAATAAAGAAGTTCTCCTGGAGGAAAGTTCTGAGAGAAGTCGGAAATACATCCGTGGAACTTCCAAGACATAAATTGAGAAAATTCTGGCGAAAATTTAAAGATACATTCAGAAAAAAAAATCGGGTTTCACATTCAAAGGAAGGCAGAAAAGTTTCGAAAATCAATAGAAGTCAAACAAAAAAAAAACAACTGGACAAAATTCCAGAACTAGACGAAAGAAATTTCTGGGAGAAGTTTAATTTAACTTCCTGGAGAAGACGGAACAAACTTCCTGGAGACGCTGGCAGAAACTTCCTAAGGTAGATTGGAAAAAAAAAATCTGGAGAAAGTCGGAAGCCAGGAACAGTCGAAAGAAACAAGGACATAATTCCGGAAGAGAGAGCTCTTGGGGGATGTTCTAATGATCCAAAAAAAATTCCAAATGGTTATAAAACATCCCTGAAGACCCCGCAATGCTCCTGAAATTTTTGGAACATTCCTGAAATGTACTTATGAATATTTCATATTTCTTCGGAATTCCTTAAGAGTTCTTGTAATTTTCCTTAAGTTAATAGGGCTGATTAAGTTAATAGGAAGATTGCGAAATTTCTTAAGCACACAATGTTCTTGAATTTATTGTTACATCCCGATTTTTCTAATTTTTAAAAGTTATCGACCCTGCCATTAATAAGCACGGAACTTCCCATAAAATGTTCTCACAATGTGCTAATGTTCGTGTAACTTTCCTTACGTTTCTTAAATTTACATGAGCCACCTCAGAACATTACTGAAATTTTCTCGGAACTCCTTTAAAATTTCAGCGATTTCCTTGAAATTTATTGATCTGTGCTGATGTTCTCGAAGCTAAGGTTCTCTCAATTCTCCTGAAACTAATGGAACGGTCCTGAAAACCATTTAATTTCCAGAAGTTCTTTGGAGTTGTGGAGTATTCAAAATATTTATGATGTTTCCTTAATTTCACTGGAGTTCGTTGTACTTCCCTAAAATTTCCGGGTTTTAGAATTATAACAGAAGTTATTGAAACATTCTTTAATTTATCGAAACTTACTCAAAAGCCTGGACTTTTCTGAAGTTTCAGAACTTCTTAAAAGTTCATGCAGCTAGTGTGGATCCGCAATCAAAATCTGGAAGCATCCCTGAAGTTGCGGGAAAGTTGAACAAAGATGAAGATGGAGAAGATGGAAGAAACATTCGAGCGAAGGCAGAAGAAGCTTACAAGGGAAGTCGCAATAAGTTTCCGAGAGGAATTGAAAAATAATTTTCAATGTAAGGTGGAAGATTCCCCCGTAATTACCAGAGAGTATCCATAAGGGTAAGAGATGAACCAGCCAAAGACTGAAAATCTCTATAATAAAATGAAATAAAAGTATCCATTAGCCATTTTTAAAGATGAACAATTTGAAATATTCAAAAAGATACAAGTCTCTCACAGTAATTTTCTCCGAAATTCGAGCGCGGGCAGGCAATAATCATTTTGATTATTTAAAAAAAATCGGTATAAATCGGTATAAGACCTCAAAAATCGGTATTCTGAGGAACCTTATCTGTATATCGGTATCTAGTTCAGAAATCGGTATAAATAAAGATAAATCGGTATAACTGGCAACGCTGATCATAGCCTGGTTGCCAGCCGCTGCTTTTCAGATTTTTATCAAATACACAACATGATATCGCGATGAACATTTCAAATGGTCCTATCTGCTTTGATCGATTCTCTTCATCGACGAGCTCATTGAGCTATATCATGAACTATTCGTGATATAGATTGACAGATCGTTTGTATGGGATATCACGTAATATAGAACGTGATATAGCTGCTATATCACGAAGCGCTCTATATCACGTGATATTGAGCGTAATGAAAACGTTACGATGGGAACGTAATTTGTGATTAGCCCTGGTCCCTTTCACATTTGCTCATTATTTATGAACGGCCCTTATATTTTTCACATTCATCTATGGAGGTCCGATTTCATTGGAATAATCGATTAATCTATTAACGAACCGAAAATTAAAATATTTGGAATTGGTTAATCATGTCGATATAAGCATTAACTTCTCCAGAGGATCATCACCCACCGTTTCAAAAGTGTTCTGCACTTTCATTGGTGCAAAATGAAATCACACCGAACAAAAACTAATCGAGTACAGCGGAGATTCGTTCGCTGGGGGCTCGTTAGTTGGGGTGCTCTTTAGTTGGGTGTTCACTAGTTGGGCCATGACCTAGGCCATGACCCAATTAAAAAGCATCTGGATGTCAAAATGTCACGTCAAAATAGATTTGACAATCAACCGTAAACTCTTCCTAGGGGTAAGCATATGCGTTTTGAACTGCGCATTCAATGTAATGTGTGCAAACATGGTATTTGATCGAAACATTTGAATTTAATTTGAAATTCCAGAAGAAATCTAAAATACATATTAAGCATATCAGTATTTTACTTTTTTCACTCAGTTTCAAGCAATTTGCTTCAATCCTAACTGTTTTTTGTTAAATCTTCTTAACCGCAACAAAGGATACGCATACCCCCCAACAACTTTTAGTCTTCTGTCATTTGACCCAACTAACGAATCGAATTCGTTAGTTGGGCCGAGGTGGTGGCCCAACCAGCGAATTTCGGCTGTAATTAAAAAATGGGACATCACTAATTTTGGTGTGATTGCGTTGATAAAAATACGCACACAATTTCAACTCTACCGAGGGGGGCAGCATAACCAGCAGAACGTCTTGCATACGGAGAGTATTCATTAGATGAAAAGGTTCATGGTCCAGAGGACACTAAAACAGAAACTGTTTTCTTCCGACTGTTTCATCTTAGTTTTCTTCTTTGCTTATATTGTGTGACTACCAATTGTGTATCTGTTCAATGCCTAAGGTCTCTAAAAAAATCCGTTGATTTTGATGCTATGTTGGCTTTGACCAACTTCCCTTGTTTAACACTTTCTAAATACCTTCAAGTAATCATTAAAAAAAAGTCTTAAAGAAACCACTGAGGTTCATCCCATCCTTACCTAGATAATATAAGCTAGCTATGTTTGTAAAACCAAAAAAAAAACAAATCCGTATCACCGAGCCCAACTGAGCTGAGCTATTGTGTGTGTGGCTCTTTCAGGTGTAGAAAATCGACCACCGGAACGGCCAGCGGTGCCGGTGCACGGAGCCAAGCGCAGCAGTCCACCACCACCACCAGTACCACCCTGTCCGGATCCACTCCCGGGCGAGATCCGACCTCCTCCGGTGGCGGCTGTCACTCTGGGTCTTCGTCCGGAAAGACCGGCTCCGGCAGGCAGTCCCGACCGCACCGAATACCGTTCCACAAGAGACCACCTCCGTCGTCGCGGCAGCTCCCGTTCCGGTCGACGTCGGCGGTGGGGGCGTCTTCGTCTTCGTCCTCATCGTCCGTTTCCCCACCCGGCGATAGTCCCGAGTATCTCGAGTCGGCTCAAAGGTGCGTTTCTGTTTTTTGCAGTTTACACAAATCCCCACCCAAAAATAAAAAAAATAAACACGTGGTATCCGAGAATCAAATCACCAACAAGCGCTCCCATTTTGGTTTTGTGAAGTGGAATTTATTGCTAGCAAATATTGTTTATTAAGTGTTAATATCTGCTGATATGGCTAGGATGTTTTACTTGTGTAAATATTAAAGACCATCACTGTCATCACCACATTGGAAATTTTCAAACGTATCTAAACTCGCTTTCAGTTTCTAATCATTCGGTTACACGATTTGGTACTAATAATTGGTTCTAATCACCTCCAAATGCACCCTCATCTCCATTATTTATCTAATTTGCCATTTTCTCGCTGTCAAGGTAATTGGCTAAACTAAATCCAAAAAAAAAAGTCGGAAAGTGTGTCGGGATGACCCTAATCCAATTATTGATATTGTTCAATTGTCATCAATACTGGTGTTCATCATGAATCAACAAGAGATTTGCAATCCTATTTCGTTCGTGAGCACTACTAACCGTCACGTCATTCGAATTGACGAGAACATTTTCTATACTGAGAGACCCCCCCCCCCCCCTCCTCTAACCGTTACCGGTTGGATGGTTGGAGGCAGGATTTTATTATTTTATTAAGCTTTTCATTTGGCGGAACTCAAACACCCACTTCGCATGCGATGCCATAATTCATCGTCGTTGGTGCTCCGGTTGCATCGAAACAATGGTAATTTAAGTGCGCGCCTACATTTGTGCGAATCGAGTGGATCGGTGGGGGAGGTAGCTACTGGTGGTAGCCCATTTTTTATACTTCTTTGCACTTTTCCTTCGCATTCCCCTACTTCTTTCTTGCACTTCAATTTAGTACTGTTTACTGAGTATAATGTATTTAAGTTCATGTGCCCATCGGTATGGACGTGTTTGCTTTTGATTGCATGTCGTGTCGCTGTTTTCTGGTTTTGTGTTTACTACTTTATGCTTTCTGCTATTAGTATTATTACTGCTCTTGCTTTTGTTATTGTTGTTGTTGTTTTTACCATTTCCATCTTCATACTGTCGGTTCAATTGATTTATGCGAGGTAAATGGGTTTTTATGGTTGTTTTATTATTATAAGATTTAATTTGCTATAATTGTGTATGTGTGTGTGTGGTACTCTTTGCAGTTTTACGATGTTTATTTAAGTTGCGAATCAGCGATTTTGGTTCGTCCCCTTTTTGGATCGTATCGAATTGGAGTGTTCTAATCACCGTCTTGCTCTTCTCCTCCCGCTTTCCGTCCATGCAGGTCAACCCAAAACTGTGGAGCAGGTGGAAGTACGCCGTACGGTGGTCCTCCGTCCTACTGTCGCAACCCGCTCTCGATTGGAGAATCGCACCCGCTACCCTCGGAAGAATCTCCGGCCAGTGCGGCCCCCTCGCCGATGCAGCCGTCCTCGGTGTCGCAGCCGATGTCGGTGCCATCCGGTGATCAGGTATGTCGAACTTTTTGAAACTGCACTGAACCACCAGAATTTGCATTATTTAGATGAACTTATTAAGATTTACTTAGTGAGCATACACGATTTCAGCTGTAAGTTAAGCATTCGGTAATATGATTTCTGGCCTCACCCGAAACCTCTCAGACAAACACATTGATCATCTCTTCTTCCCACCAGCTCATAACCATGTCACCGCACCCACCGGCATCAAACAACCCACGCAGCGTGCAACCCGCAACGCCCGGTCTCGATCATCTGGACAAGAACACGCCGGCCCCGACGCCGACCGATCAGCACGACAGCAAAAGTATTACTGCCTCTCCGTACCACACTCCGTCGCATCCGGGAGGGGTCCTGAGCGTGGAAGCACCCTCCTCCCAGCAACCGCAACAGCAACAACAACAGCAACAGCAGCAGCAGCAATCGCAACAACCATCACAGCAACTGGTGGGCAACAATCTGAGCAGTACCAGCAGCAGTAGCAGCGGTGGAACGACCAACAGTAGTCCGGGGAACCTGCCGAGTGGAATGATGGGTATGAAGATCAAATCGGAAGAGACGCCTTTCGGTGATGGCATGATGCTCGGAACTGGTCCCAGTATATACAGCAGGTTGAATCCGATCATTAACCAGAACCAAATCACCAAGAGGGAGCAGGTGCTGCAGATTCTGCAGTCGCTCAAGAGGCCTTCGCTGTCGTCCAGGGACTACGAAGGTATGGTGGGCGAGGAAAGCCCCAGTACGTCGCAACTACTGTACGACTATTCGGCAATCGATGCCTGGATGAACCATCCGGTCAAACGGTTCCGACCGAACGAGGACTCCAAGCTGGCTCTGCAGATGCGAAGCATGGATCTGTACGCGGATCAGAAGCACTCGGAAATGTTTCTGCAGTCGCAGCAAAATTCCGGACCAGAAGGTGCGATGAATCCCGCTCGGCAGGATCAGCAAGACCCGCTGGCATTACCGGAAGGGACGGATCTCTCGACGGGAGCTCTGCTAAATGAAAGCCAAATCAAGACGGAAATCGGATGCGAGAGGCGAGACGGCGACGGTCCAATGCTCGAAGCGCATGAAATCAAGAAGGAGAAAGAGGACGGAAGCTTGTTCACGGAACAAGGCCTTACACCGGCGCTGAACGATTTGGATCAGCTTTTCGCCGTCAGTGACAACTACCATGACGACTCGGATATGAACGCCAACACGAGTCCTGCTTCGACCAAAAGTGGCGGCGGTTGCATGGAGGACATTAAAAGGTTTTCCGGATCGGGCCACACCATGAATGCCGGTATTCTAAGCCCTAAGGAGCTATCTCAAATGTTCCCAACGCCACCCAGTTTAGAGCACCATCCCAATTCCAGCCCCGGAGGAGGCGGTTGCATGTCGGACGGTATCGTGATTGACACGATGGTCGAAGCTGCCACTGCAATCCCCATCCTCGGTAGCCCTCAGGAAGAACCAATCGACGACTGGTCCTACGTGTTTGTTCCGCCGCCCATCTGCAAGTACGTGGGATCTTCCAAGTACGCCCCGCTCCAGCAGCTTCCAAGCCAATTGATGCAACCGCCGGTGTCACTTCCGCTAACCTGCGTCTACAAATCCAGCTCCCAGCTTCGCAAGGAGAAACAGGAACGCGAGAAACTCATCAAGCTACGGGAACTTCAAGAACAGCAAGAAGCCCTCCAGCAGCAGCAGCAGCAATCTCAATTGGAGAACATTCCACCGAATGCCGGAGCAGTCAGCAACCCTGTAATCAAACAGGAAACACCACTTACCGTACCGCAACCGCTCAGCACACCAAATTCCCTTAACTTGAACGGCGCAGGTCATCCGTACTCGAACCCATCTTCGCAGGGACCACAGCCTCTATCGAGGCCACCATCGGTCAATTCTCTCCCGGGAGGAATGATGGGTTCCGGGGCCAACATGTTGAGTCCCTCTCCCATACACAATGGGCTCATTAACAACAACATGTTCCATCCGGGCATAGGAATGAACGTTCCCCTACGGCAAGGAATGTCTCCCATCTCTCCTGCCACCCCCGGCGGCTGTACTCCCGGCGGAGGCAACTCAATGCGAGTGCCCACTCCTCAAGGATCCTGTCCGCTACCGTACCCTTCGCCCATCAGTGCCAGCGGAGGTTCCATGACCATCGGTAACAACCTCGGCAGCCCGAACCCTCTCAATCCGATGAGCTTCCGGCGAACGCCGATTCTTCCACCTCCACCGTACGATGTCGCCGTGGCATCACCAGCTACCTCCACCACCTCGTCTTATAACAACAAACAGTTTGGACTGGACGACGGACCGGCAACGCCTTCCGTGGCCGGCGGCAATGGTACGCCCTCCCAGCGGATAGCCATCGAAACGAGTGCCCTCCTGGTGAACGTGCTCCTGTACGACACTTCGCTCAATATCTTCCGCGATCACAACTTCAACAGTTGTACGCTGTGCGTGTGCAACGCGGGCCAGAAGTGGGTCGGGAACATCCGGGGGGCCGATTCCGGACCTTACCTAGCGCTTCCGGGAACGACTTTCCTCGGCATTGGAAAGAACGGTTCGGCCAGCGGAAGCAGTAGCGAACGGGAAGCAGCCAAATCAACGCCCTCCTCCGTATCGCAGTTTAATGGGAACAATCACAACAATAACGGTGCCTTTGGTATGATGGATTCGCCTGCCGGTGGAACCGGCGGAGGCAGTTCAGCCGTGGTAGCCATCAATACGAACAACTTGCAGAATGGTTACATGGACGAGGATCCGATCAAGTGTACGTGCGGTTTCAGTGCGGTGGTCAACCGAAGGTTAGCCCACCGGGCGGGTCTATTCTACGAGGACGAGCTGGAGATTACCGGAATGGCGGAAGATCCAGCAGTGCATAAGAAAAATTCGCTGCTCCAGTTCCTGCTTGGCAAGGGCGACTACAGCAGCAGCGGTATCAACTGTGATATTTCACCGCTACCGCTCCGGATCATGGATCTACTGCGGCAGCACTGTGCGGTCATTCAGAGTTCCAGCAACTCTATCCACCGGGCCGTAGCTCGGTTCCAAAGTGCAATGACGGCCAAGAGCTTGGCCAACGCTACCGTACATATGCTCGAGTATACCGATGCCAACGATGTAATCAGTTTGGCACTGGAACAGAGTCGATTGCAGGCAATTAACGAGAATAAGATGGAGGATGGCGCCCTGGTCAAATCAGGAGGACTGCTGCGAGGCGTGATGAATGTACATAAATGGCCGTACCTAAGAGCGGGAGGACCCAAGAGCAATCAGGACATTGTTCGGATAATGAAATCCATGCAACCTCTGCTGCAGGATGCCTTCCACAAAAAGTGCACTACTCGGTTATGGGACGCACCGTACACGATACAGGGCCCACTTACCTGGCGTCAGTTCCATCGGCTCGCCGGACGAGGCACCGGTCAATGCGAACCGCAACCCGTTCCTTCTCTGGTCGTTGGCTACGAAAAGGATTGGCTCTCCCTGTCCCCATACGCCATCCAATACTGGGACAAACTGCTTCTCGAACCGTACTCCTACCCACGGGACATTGCCTACGTCGTAGTCTTACCGGATAACGACTATGTCGTGGCCAAAGTGAAATCCTACTTCAAAGAACTCAGTACAACGTACGAAATGTGCAAACTTGGTCGGCACAATCCCATCAAGGGATGGGACGGAATCCTTCGGGTCGGCTCGAATCGAGTGCTCAAGGAGACGCAAAACTCCAGCATGGACGAGTGGTTCACCAGCATGGGCGATACCCGGTTAAGTGAAATGCTCCGACTGTACGCACAAACATGCCAACAACAGCTAGCTCCGTACCTGTCCAAAGTACCATCGGACAAAAGCTTGCTTGATCCACCGGAAAACCACAACGTTTCCGCATCGGCTCACTCCCTCGCCCTGGCACAAGCCAGTTCCACACCCAACCGGGATGGTCCGGGTCAGAGTCCGATGCCACCACCTCCGCCCAGCACACCGGATCCGTCACAACCGGGCGATAAGGCCCCTAGCACACCAAAGTCTGATAATGGTAAGTCACCTAGAATGCCATTTCACGAAGCTTTCAACTGATGTTTAATTTTTCCATTGTAGATCAAGACAACCGCGATAACCTCAACACGTCGAATTCGACTCCGGCGGACCGGATGCAGCACGAGGACGACGGCAAGGAACCACCGCACATCGTACTGTACATGGTGGAACCATTCACGTGCGGAACGGACGCACCGGAAATCGAACGCCTTGCCTGCCTATCGCTGCTCCGGTGCTACTCGAACATTCTCAGCACAGTGCCGGACTCGATCCGGAGCAACATCAGCGTACAGGTAGGTTTCGGATCTTCTGCTTTTTTAAAAATTCAGTTCTTTATTTACCGCACCCCTTTTACAGCTCATCTCGCTGGAAAACATCATGGAGCTGGGCCGAAGCCGGAACCGGCTCCGACTGAGTGACCACATGCGCAGTCAGGCGTTAAGCATATTCTCGCAGAGTCGCCGCTACATGCAGCACCTGAACAACGTCAAGAGCCTGACCGGGTTCGGAACGGCCGCAAACGCCGAACAGTTCATGAAAAACAAGGACGAAAAGAATCGGGCAGCGTACAAACTGTACACCCCGCCGTACGTGCTGGCCAAGTTGTGCGAGAAGAAGGAAAGCTCGGAATCTTTCGGCCAGACCAGCATAAAGCAGCAGTGTTCGATCATGTACTGCAGTTACTGCTTGAGCGAGGACCAAAGTTGGCTTCTGGCCGTGGCGACGGACGATCGGGGAGAGTTCCTGGAAACGGTGACGATCAACATCGACATTCCGAACCGGGTCCGACGGAAACGAGCCTCCGCTCGGAGGTTGGGCCTGCAGAAACTGATGGACTTCATCCTGGGACTGATATCACAAACGGTGCAACCTTGGCGTATTGTTATCGGCCGTATCGGTCGGATAGGACACGGCGAGCTCAAAGGCTGGAGCTGGCTGCTGAGCAAGCAGAACCTGCAGAAGGCATCCAAGCACCTGAAGGACATTTGCGAGCAGTGTTCACTGCTGCATCCGGTTTCAGTGCCGAGCATCTTGAGTGCCTGCTTGGTAACACTGGAACCGGACTCGAAATTGCGCGTCATGCCGGATCAGTTCACACCGGACGAACGGTTCAGTCAGCTGTCGATGCAGTCGCCGTTGACGACACCGCAGGATGTGACTTGTACGCACATTCTGGTGTTCCCGACCAGTGCGAGGACACAGGTGAGGATCGGGGCATTTAAAAATTTGAATTTTGACGGTTGATTGACAATTTTTTTTTACAGTCTGCCCAGTCAGCCTTCGTGGCGGAGCACATCAACGACGAGCTGGGACTGACGCTCGACGGGAATCTCGACGATCTGGGCCTCGGTGAGGACTGCGACGAGGACGGTTTGGACGATTTGTTCGACAATTGGGGTATGTTTATCGAATGTCCATTGGTTCCCTTGGATGAGTTAAAAACCGCTGCTTTCTTCCCAGAAGATATAGAAATGCCACAGCAGATACCGGAGGATTCGCGTCAAGGGAGTCCGATTGGGAACTTCGAAGGACAACGGCAAAGTCCGGGCGATAGCGGATCGAACTGTGCGCAGAATCTCAACGGCTACATGGCTCAGGAGCCGGAAGATGTGAGTATCTACCTTCACGGTAATCTTCTGTAGATATAAGTTTTCTTTTCAGGAGAGTTCTACGGAGTTTTCTCATCAAACTCAGTCGGTGCTTAAAAAATTTCGATTTTCAATTTATCAGTAGGGTCGGGTGGGACAAGAGTGCCACCTTAACAATATTGTACGTTCTACCAGCTCAAAACCAGCCAGTCCTTACCTTACCAATCAGGCTAAGGCCTTGTTGAAGAAGTCGTCTCCACTCTACTCGATCCATGGCCACACTTCGCCAGCCTCGTAGTCTGCGAAGGGTCCGCAGGTCACCTTCTACTTGGTCGATCCATCTTGCCAGCTGCGCGCCTCTTCTTCTTGTTCCTGTTGGGTCGCTTTCTAGAACCATTTTCACTGGGTCGTCGTGCGACATTCTTACGACGTGCCCAGCCCACCGTAGTCGCCCATTTTTTGGCAATGTGGATGATGGATGGTTCTTCCAGCAGCTGGTGCAATTCGTGGTTCATTCGCCTCCTCCACGTTCCGTCATCTATCTGCACTCCACCGTAGATGGTACGCAACACCTTCCGTTCGAAAACACCAAGGGCGCGTTGGTCCTCCACGAGCATAGTCCAGGTTTCGTGGCCGTAGAGGACCACCGGTCTAATCAGCGTCTTGTAGACAGTCAACTTCGTGCGGCGGCGAATTTTATTCGACCGGAGCGTCCTCCGAAGTCCAAAGAGCGTCTTTGAATTACTCTGCTGGTATCATTTTCGGCGGTCACCAGTGAGCCCAAATACACGAACTCATCGGCCACCTCGATTTCGTCACCGTCAATCTGAACTCGGGGTGGGAGGCTAACATTGTCTTCCCTAGAACTTCTTCCTTTCATGTATTTTGTCTTTGATGCGTTGATGGCAAGTCCAATCCACCTAGCTTCAGCCTTCAGTCTGATGTACGTTTCCGCCATCGTCTCAAAGTTCCGTGCCATGATGTCAATGTCATCGGCGAAGCCAAGAAGCTGGATGAACTTCCTGAAGATCGTGCCACTCGTGTCTATCCCAGCTCTTCTGATCACACCTTCTAACGCGATGTTGAATAGCAGACACGACTTCTTCGAGATTCAAAGGTACTCGAGAGAGTGTCCCCAAACAACGCACATCACTCGATCCATCGTCGCCTTGACCAATCGCGTCAGTTTATCCGGAAATCCGTACTCGTGCATAATCTGCCATAGCTGATCTCGATCGATTGTGTCGTATGCGGATTTGAAATCGATGAACAAATGATGTGTGGGCACGTTGTATTCGCAGGATTTCTGCAGAACCTGCCCGAATCGCGAAAATTTGGGCCGTGGTAGCGCGGGCACCCATGAATCCCGCCTGGTATTGCCCCACGAACTCTCTTGCAAATGGTAACAGGCGGCGGCATAGAATTTGGGAGAGTACCTTGTAGGCGGCGCTCAGCAGTGTGATCGCGCGGTAGTTGCAGCAATCCAACTTGCCGCCCTTTTTGTAAATTGGACATACGACACCTTCCATCCACTCCTCCGTTAATATCTACTCCTCCCAAATCTTGGCAATTACCCAGTGCAGCGCTCTAGCCGCTCACTTGGTTTGGTAGTTGATCTACACCAGTTGCTTTGTTGTTCTTCAACCGACCGATATCCTCCTCAACTTCTTGAAAATCAGGGGCCGGTAGTCTGTCGTCTTCTGTGCGTGCTCCAAGGTCTGTTGCCATGCCACCTTCTTCGCGTAGGTCTGTGCCGATTGTTCCGATCCGTATTTATTTCTTCAGTAGGGGTAAGAGGGGCATAGTGAACAGGTGGGGCATAGTGAGCATCCTGTGCACCAGCTTGGACTTCCGGTCGTTCGGAACAAATTTATTGGTGGTAGGATCAATATCATAATGATATTGAACCTACTACCAGTTGATTTGTTTCATGCAGCTAGAGATCCAGTGCCAAACTGCGGGATGCTCACTATGCCTCTCCTCCCCCTATTTGCAACTTTATGTTTTTTTTTTCAGGGTGGCTTGTTGGGCCTGCCCCAACCCCCTCCCCTGTCTCGCTGGGGGACCATCGTGCACAGCTCTGTTTAGAGTCCCACGCTGGCACTAGGACGGTGATCAGCCGTTCCTAACATGGAGAACAGACGCCGTTTTGAGCCGCACCTCCATGGTGAACAGGCGCTCGGGTTTGGTGAAGCATTTCCTCTATCACCGACTATGGTTACCGCGCCAGTGTTTGCGTCGCACCTCTTCACTTTGTTATTGCCGGACTGGCAACATTGCTGTGTTAATGTTTCAGTTGGCTGCGCTCCACGCCTTCTTGTTCCAACCGGATCAGTAGCGAACACCAACTTTGCAGGGTTGTTGTCCGGCATTTTTGCAACATGCCCTGCCCACCGCATCCTTCCGGCTTTGGCCACCTTCTGGATGCTGGGTTCGCCGTAGAGTGCAGCGAGCTCGTGGTTCATTCTTCGCCACCCCTCACCGTTCTCCTGCACACCGCCGAAGATCGTCCTTAGCACACGTCGCTCGAAAACTCCGAGTGCTTGCAGGTCCTCCTCGAGCATAGTCCATGTCTCGTGTCCATAGAGGACCACCGGTCTTATTAGCGTTCTTTGGTGCGGGGGTGAATCTTTTTTGACCGTAGTTTCTTCTGGAGCCCGTAGTAGGCACGACTTCCACTGATGATGCGCCTTCGTATTTCACGACTCACATTGTTGTGTTAAGGATCCAAGGTAAACGAATTCCTCCACTACCTCGAAAGTATCATCGTCCTTCCTAGACGAATCCTGTCATGTTCGGTTCCGCCTACTAGCATGTACTTTGTTTTTGACGCACTCACCACCAGTCCGACATTTGCTGCTTCGTGTTTCAGGCGGGTGTATAGTTCTGCCACCGTTCCAAATGTTCTTGCGATAATGTCCATGTCGTCCGCAAAGCCCACAAATTGATCGGATTTCGTGAAAATCGTACCCCGGCTGTTGAGCCCGGCTCGTCGCATTACACCTTCTAGAGCGATGTTGAAGAGTAGGTATGAGAGTCCGTCACCTTGTCGCAGTCCCCGGCGAGATTCGAATAAACTGGATAGTTCACCCGAAAGCCTTACGCAGTTTTGCACACCGTCCATCGTTGCTTTGATCAGTCTGATCAGCTTCCCATCAGGAAAGCCGTTCTCGTCTATGATTTTCCATAGCTCTGTGCGGTCGATACTGTCGTATGCCGCCTTAAAGTCGATGAACAAATGATGCGTTGGGACCTGGTATTCACGGCATTTCTGGAGGATTTGCCGTACGGTGAAGATCTGGTCCGTTGTCGATCGGGGCCGTCGATGAAGCTGGCTTGATAACATCCCACGAACTCGGTCATTTTAGGTGATAGACGACGGAAGATGATCTGGGATAGCACTTTGTAGGCGGCATTCAAAATGGTGATCGCTCTGAAGTTCTCACATTCCAAATGGTCGCCTTTCTTGTCAATGGGGCAGATTACCCCCTCCTTCCACTCCTCCGGTAGCTGTTATGTTTCCCAGATCCTGACTATCATCCGGTGCTTTTCTGGGTCCATCTTGATGAGTTCGGCTGCGATACCATCCTTACCAGCTGCTTTGTTGTTTTTGAGCTGCTGAATGGAGTCCTTAACTTCCCTCAGCGTGGGAGTTGGGTCAGTTCTGTCCTCTGCTGCACTGAGGTAGTCGTTTCCTCCATTGCGCTGATCTCCCGTGCCTACGTTCTCCTCGCCATTCAGGTGCGCATCGAAGTGCTGCTTCCACCTTTCAATCACCTCACGTCCGTCCGTCAAGAGGCTCCCGTCCTTATCCTTGCACATTTCGGCTCGCGGCACGGGATGCGTTGAGCTTCTGGTAGAACTTCCGTGTTTCTTGGGAACGGCACAGCAGTTCCATTTCCTCGCACTCCGCTTCTTCCAGGCGGCGTTTTTTCTCCCGAAAGATACGGGTCTGCTGTTTCCGCTTCTGTTTATACCGTTCCACGTTCTGTCGGGTTCCATGCTGCAGCATTACCGCCCGCGCTGCGTTCTTCTCCTCCAAAATCGCTCTGCACTCCTCGTCGAACCATTCATTCCGTCGACTTCTTTCCACGTACCCGATGGTGCTCTCGGCTGCGTCGGTGATGGCTGCTTTTACTGTACTCCAGCAGTCCTCTAGAGGGGGCACATCAAGCTCGCCCTCCTCTGGCAACGACGCCTCGAGATTCTGCGCGTATGCTAAGGCGACATCCGGTTGCTTCAGTCGCTCTAGGTTGTACCGTGGCGGGCGTCGGTGTACCGTACATTGTTGATGACGGAAAGTTTTGGGCGCAGTTTGACCATCACCAGGTAGTGGTCAGATAGCCGGCGCCGGTGGTGTAGTGGTAAGCGTGACTGCTTTCTCACCCCAATGGGTCTGGGTTCAATCCCAGCCGAAGTCGGTGGGATTTTTCTGAGGCATAAAAATCTCTGGTCACGTCTTCCTTCGGAAGGGAAGTAAAGCCGTTGGTCCCGGCCCATGTGTGTTTGAATGGGTGCGATATCCTACGCAGGTGTGGAAGCTGCCTTCCTGCACATTCGATTGCCGTCAATGGATGGCAATCGATGTCCGTCGGTGATTGGCACTAGATTGCGGAACAGAGACCGACGTTAAATAAAGGAAGAAAAAAAAGGTAGTGGTCAGAGTCGATCTTAGCGCCACGATAGGTCCTGACGTCGATAATGTCGGAGAAATGCCGTCCATCAATCAGAACGTGGTCGATTTGCGATTCCGTCTGCTGTGGTGCTCTCCAGGTGTAACGATAGGGGAGGCTGTGTTGGAAGAAGGTGCTACGTATGGCCATGTTCTTGGAGGCGGCGAAATCGATGAGTCGTAGGGCCGTTCCCGTTCGTCAGCTGGTGGGCGCTGAACGTTCCAATCGTCGGTCTGAATTCCTCCTCCTGGCCTACCTGAACGTTTAGGTCTCCTATGATGATCTTGACGTCGTGGCTTGGGCAGCGATCGTACTCGCGGTCGAGCTGCGCGTAAAATACGTCCTTGTCATCATCAGTGCTTCCGGAGTCAGGGCTGTGCACGTTGATTATGCTAAAGTTGAAGAATCGGCCCTTGATCCTCAATCTGCACATTCTTTCGTCGATCGGCCACCAACCGATCACGCGCTTCTGCATTTCGCCCATCACGTTGAAAGCTGGGCCCAGCTCGCGTGTGTTGCCGCAACTCCGGTAGATGGTATGATTACCTCTAAACGTTGCAGACACAATTCTTGTGGTCTATTATTAACTCATTCAAAATAAAATAGTTTATTGCCAGCACTCAGATAATCTGGGAATATGGTACACTTTAGGGCTTATTACGGATGTCACTTCACGTAGAAAACTTGTCACTTGCCGTCACGGTGAAGTGATTCCAATTTGATTTAATCACGGCTCTTATTCTGAGTATCGCTTCCTTATCATTGTGCCACCCGTAATAAGGCCCTTTATCTTCAGAACAGAACATTCAATAGCAGTGCAATTAATCATGTTTTGTTGTTTTTGACATCATCTACATCCAGAGGGCCAGTAACTTCGAATGTATGGGAATGGTAGTAAACCATTTGGAAATGCATGAAAATTTTCAGGTTTTATTCATTATCGTCTTTATGGGCAGTTTTAGGTGCACAAAAATTGCACGAGTACATTACTATGGTGATAAGGTAAACACTTGTTTATTTGTTTCCTTCTGTGAAAGCATGTTTAGTCACAAATCGTGGATTTTCTGATATTCTCCACTCTTTCCTACCACTGAAGGGGCGACATCTCTCGGATCTTCAGTATAGCTACTACTCAAATCATATAATTAATTAACCATATCCGAAGTTAGCTCTAGCTTTTTCTCACAGATGGCAATCCTCTCCACGGTAGTCAAGCAGTTTTCCCAGTATGGAAAACATCATTAATTCAAAAAATATCAGCATCCCCATTCCCCCAACTTTGCCGAAGACACCGATCCTGAATGACTTTTTTTTAAATAAATATTGTATCTCACTTCTAGGGAGATTAATCATCGATCTGTCATTGTCAAAAGAATGCGGGATACTTATATCCCGAAACTTTTCCGTAGACACCACTTGTTTAAAATGCAAGATTTACGAGATAATGGCTTTTGACCGTCTTTTAACAGTTCTGGTAACTGTGTGAGGGGGCGGTAAGATGGTGATTTTTGTTAACGTAATGAAATGAAATGAAATTTTGGATTTCCTTTCCACTTTTAATGCAGATTATGAATATGCATTTACATCAATACCCCTAAAGAACCCAATTGAAAGACAGTTGTAATAACGTCTTAAATTTTACGAATGAAATCGAATAACGCATCAATCTCTCTGTCATGTGAATGTCGTCCATCCGGACAAAGTTTAGCCGTTGATTTTTACCTTCCCCTCTTTTTCCCCCGCAGTTCGGTTCCCTGGCCCAGCAGCCGATGGCCATCGGGTATCTTGTGTCCACAGCCCCGACCGGCCGGATGCCCCCGTGGTTCTGGTCCTCCTGTCCGCACATGGAGAACGTCTGTCCGGTGTTCCTGCGGATAGCGCTGCACCTGAACAGTTTCCAGATCCTCCAGAACAATGACGACCCGATGATGCAGTCCCAGTCGACGACCGAACACCCGCTGGACTCGAACATGACGGCCGACGTGCTGCGGTTCGTGCTCGAAGGCTACAACGTCCTGTCCTGGCTGGCCATGGATTCCAACACCCACGATCGGTTGTCCTGTTTGCCGATCCACGTGCAGGTGCTGATGCAGCTGTACCACATGATGGCCGCGCTGGCTTAAACAGTGTTGTTGTTGCGGTGCGGAACGTTCTTTTGCTTAAGGTTTGGGGGAGAGGAAGAACGCGATAATGCCGGTTGGCGACGATTATGGAGATCTTCTCCCCGTGCTGTCTGTGATATTAGGTAATGCGGTGTAGGCAGGGGGAAATCAAAGCAGGCTGAGATCTATAGGCGTCGAAAATGGGGGGTACGCAGAGGAGAGTGCCCGAAGATGGTTCAAAATTTAAAAGCGTAGGGATCAAAGCAAGCTAGCGTATTTTGTGTGTGTTAAAGGAACTTTTTTTTTTTAGATAAGAATAGTGAAGAAACGAGAAAACGGCCAAGATCTGGTTTTACAAGTTTTAAGTTGTATTAATTTATTGATTTTGTTTTTTTTTCGTTTAAAGTCCCAAGACAAGTATTCCCGCTTGGTCAATGCTAGAAACAACAAGTTAATGATTGTGGAATTTGAGATTGTTCAAGATATTTTGGAGCAGTATTTTCATTTTGTTCAATTTTTCCCTTCTTAAGAAAAGGCAAACCGGAAAGGGAAAAAGAAACAACCTAAAGAGATTAACGCGCTTTTAAGTGAAATCATTGGATAGGGAACATTGCAATCTAATATTTTCATTGTGTTTTGAATACCTGTAGCGTTTAGAGTTTTAGATAAGCCACGTGTGTAAATATAGTGAAAAGTGTCAATTTAGCGCGAAATGAGAAACAGTGGAAACAGTTTAGGGAATTGTGTAAACACAAATATAATAGCATCATAGGCTAGTGAATGGAAGGCAGAATGTACATTCATCAAGCACCCCCTCCCGGTCTTAAGTGATTATTAATTAGATGAAGATGATAATGAGTCTCTAGGGCAAGTTAGTTAATTTAAAGCAAACAAACAAATATCTCCTATAAGCGGAATGCGAAAAGGGTCTGGACCGGTGGCAGTTTTATTCACCTGCGGTAGGATCGATCAAGTATGAGAGGGGTAAGTTTTTCGTTTTATTACTGCCCGGTGGGTAGACCGTTAGGCCATCGCCTTTGATGAATAATGCTATGTTGAATAAACTATGGTTTTTGGAGTTATGATCGAGATCGTTGCGGATTTTTCGGGATTTTCGCCGACGTAACAGTTGATAGATAGCTGGATTTCGTGTTTGGAAGAATTTACTGTAGCTCTCCTTGTAGCTGTGGGTATAATTGCAAGTCAGATACTGAGGTTAAGTACATCCAAACAAATGGACCGATGACTGTACAGTAAACTCTCTATTTCACGATGTTCTATAGGTATTTATCTGCAGCATTAGCTATGAGTTCCTCAATTTAGTCGCTGAGTCGTTCTGATTGGCCGTGTAGAGTGTTAGTCATCCCCCCCTATTCTGCGAGTCACGTGACTCTCTCTCACCGGTGAGGTGACAATAGTCACCTCGTGTGAGGTGACTCTCCATTTGATTTACATGGAGAGTCACCTCACACGAGGTGATAATTGTCACCTCACCGGTGACAGAGAGTCACGTGACTCGCAGAATAAGGGAGATCGACTATCTTACCGAATGGAAAATTCGCAATTCAACAAGTGAGTTGAACGCCGAATTGAATCGAATGAACCTGGCTTACGTAAAGAGATAGACGAGTAGCAGATTCCACTATCAAACCTTGCTGAAATTATTACCCAAATCCATTAAGATTATTCTGCAATCATGTTTTCTAATTTTATAGTTTAAAACCATAAACTCATTCCTATGTTCGATGTAAATTCGACAGTGTCTTTCGTAAAATCGAAGACGACCTATCAAGAAAACTGACTTCCGTTTTCTCAGAGACGACCGTCTTGGATAACAAAGAAAACTAAACTCTCCCGTTTTATCGTACAGGCACAATCGCGTCATCTGCCGCTCAAAAGTAAATGCTTCGAACGAGAGTGTTCTAAAAATGGTAATGGGATATGCCACCGACCTTTTTGGGGCTAGTCTAGGGGTCTTATATGAAACAAATAGGCCTTGGTTAGATGTCTAATAAATAGTTTAGAGATGTTATGGGACAATTTGGAAAATCTTATGGAACACGTCTGAGGTCTTATGGGACTGAGTCTAGAGGACTAGAAGCCTTGGCATATAATTTCAAGTTTTTTCACAATCAGCAATTTTGTGATAGCAGAGTACTCCTTTAATGATCATAAAATCACTAATTGTGACTCTCTGAAACCGAAATTGAAACATGTTTTTGAGTGGAATGAGTATCATCAAGCCTGGTTAAGGTGAATCGCTGTGAAATCCTTATTCTCGGAACCACTTCGAATCTTTAAGTTCACATCAGCTTCTACGACACTTGCAACATTCAAATTGTTACTCCACGTTTGCTGCACTGCAGCATACATGAAGTAACAATTTCAGGTGAAATGGGGCACCGATTTCCGAGATTTCAAGAACAATATGAAAACAAACCTTCCTATCCCCTTTTCTCGCCACCCATATGACACCAACGCAAACCTTTAACATCACCGAGTAGGGGAAACTTTCCCCTTCCCGATGAAATTGCTGGTTTGCGTGGGCGACCCTCGGTTGGCGAGAAAAGGGCCTACAAAGGTTTGTTTACAAAAAGCTTGTATGCCCTTTTCACATGCGGCTCTTGATTTGTGTAATTGAAAATTTGAAGTGGAAGTGCATGTATAGCGTACGTGGCGGCCATGGAATCACCTTAAGATACGTATTCACTGTCCAATGACCGATATCGGGCCTTATTACGGGTGTCACTACACGGTGATAAGCAAGTGATACTCAGAATAAGAGCCGTGATTACCCTACAAATCAAATGGGAATCACTTCACCGTGATGACAAGTGACAAGTTTTCACCGTTAAGTGACATCCGTAATAAGCCCCGATGGATCCGCCATCTTGAGTTCCAAAATGGTGTCGGACATCGTCCTTCAGCGTCTACTCGTCAATCCCATTCCACAAATATCCACATTGAATGGATGCATATTCGTTGAAGACGAGTGATCGACACACGGGCCCCGTAATCTCGACGTCCGTGGTTCGGTTCCTGCTTGCTCCGTTTTATTATTTTTTCGTCAACATTGTTATTCATAAGGCTAATCAATGAAATTCATACCGATTTCTTGTGGCTAAAATTCATAAGTTCTTATGGAATTCTTACCTGTACCTAGTACTTTGTGAACAAGTCAGTCTACCAACAATTTCCCAGCGATGACATAATACTCGACTATTAGTACAAGACACTGAAGAAGTCTGCACAGTGTAGACGAAATCCGTGTATCTGTCAAGGATAAGCAAATAAGGTAGTGGAATTAAATAGAAATTACTAATCTTTCTCTCTCTCTCTCTCTTTATACATTTCCATATTGAATAGCCATTCATGATGGATACAAAAATCACTTGTTGTTAGAGAACACTTCCTACATCACGAAATGGACATTCTTCGTTCTTACCACCTCTGATAGTGATGAATATGGTTCCACCTCGTTTGTCAGCTCAAATCAGCAAATGACGTTCGATAGAATTATTTACATCATTTGCGTTATGGGGCTGAACCAATACCATATTCGTTACAATTTGGGATGACAATCATTCTACAGAGAGTATTCAGTATTTCAACTGAGGTCCGTTCGCTTCTCGGTACAATGTTCATCCGAGAGGAGCATCATCCTGATTACATAAACAACCGTCATCCGGTTGCAGCTATCATTCGAAGAAGCGATTTCGATGTTCCGATTTGCATGGCCTGAGGTTTCATTCGAACAGAGGATGGTGTTTTGATACAGTGTAGTAGCGGAGAAAACAAAATACAATTGATGCATTTAAGTGACGGTCGACTAGCAGATGGAAATGATGTGAAAAATGATCATGACGTTTTGCTAACTGTCAAATAATATGGAATATTTTTTAGTACATCATCAGTTTTGTAATTGCAAATCTGAAAACTAGGTGTCGCATGGCCAGCTTTACCTTCGTTTAAATTCATCAAAAGGCTGTTTCTATGCACCACCAATGTAGAGTGCGCTAGGCGATTATGAGGGGAAACGTCAACACACCCACTCAAACTAACTAAATCATCTGACAGAGCAGTATTTGTTCGTTGATGTTGTAACAATATTTCTGTAAAAACTTGTGTAAAGACTCCTATTCGACTTAAGCGCCACCAACGCCGACTTCTCCACTTAAAAACCCTCTTTGGCAACATTATGGAACTGGCGTTGCACAACTAGTGCCGAGTGGTAATTTTCAACCGAAAATTTATCGATACTGGATGTAGATAATGAAAATAACGGGATCAGAATGCGTTTAGTATGTTTTTCTGTGGTTGAACCAAAGTGCAAGAAATGCATTTTTGGCGATTTTTGTAGCGAGTTCAGAACCACTTCTAACCATTCTAGCATGGTGCCAAATTGGTCGAAAGTGGAAAATCTTTATAGGAAATCAGAAGATGCTAGCGCCACGTAACAGCGCCGTTCCCACTTATCTTTGCACAAGTTTCTGGTGGAAGTTGGACGTCTGTTCTCTGTGAATTAACGCAAATTGCTTGGCATATTGTTATACGTATCTTGCATATTGCCATTGAAGAATCAAATGATAATGATAATTACGTTTTGATATCTGTCAAATTGAATGACATTTTTTCTAGTACATCATCATTTTTGTAATTGCGGATCTTTAAACTAGGTGTCGCATGCCCATTTAGCCTTGCTTTGATTCTCCAATCGGAGGGGTCTTATTTTATTATTTTTCACATATTTGAACGGATTTACAGCTCAAATAACACCATATTAAAAATCCGGAAGATCATAACCGCCGGGGTTGTTTAATAAATTATCACTTTTCTTAACAAAAATATATGGAAGCACCAGCCGGATCACTCCAAAATCCATACACAAAATGAAATATTCCATGTGGACGATGATTACAAGCGCAGGTGCAGGTGGATAAATTAATCAGAAAATGTAAAACATTTTCCTCTTCCTCTTATGTTTCGCTGTGAAAATTTCCGGCCTCATCACTCGTATGATGGTTCCCTTATTCACCACCAGAGGCTGAAACGATCGCTTGATTTCTATTGGATTCGCCTATTCGGCAGCAGGGTTTTGTATGTACAATATCTTAACAACCCTTGCTAGAAGCAAAGACTTCAAATCAAGAAGACAGGCAACTTTGCCAGAACCCAAGCGACAGATACTGTAGTGCTGGGCTTGAGTAAAGGTGGAAGCAACGCATAGAAAAATGAGCAAATACACAAACCTTTCTTCTGAGGATGTAATCTTTGCTATCAAATTCGTTCGAAGCATTTACCTTTGAGCGGCAGATAACGCGATTGTACCTGTCTCATAGCGTTAGTATGAGAAAATGGAAGAATTGCCAGTCTTCTTGATATGTTGTCTTCACTAGAAGCTAGCATTTCACATGACTTTTCTTTTCGATTCGATGTACGTGCAAAATAATAATTGAGTGCATCGCAATGTTTTGCACATTTCTTTGTACCATTAACCAACAAGGATTAATTAATCAATAGGGGTAGACTATTATTTTTGATTCTAAAAACTAGTTGAATTGGAGAAAAATAAAGGGGGTTCAATTTCTATTTGATTACCATACTCATAAATATGATCTAGAAATCCTCGAAAAAAAAAATCTAATGGGAATGTTCGATTGGCCCAGATTTTGACAGTTCATTTGGCTCAAAACATTCTCTTAGCTCATCTCTATCAGTTGAAACATGCATCAACTTCCAGTAGAATGTTGTTTTAATTGGCCTATACACTTAGGGAAAGCTTTTTAGACACAGGTTTACAATTTCAGTCAAC